GTTCGGTCCTTTTGCCATGTCAAAGATAAGACAAGGAGAATAAAGAGATTCCTAGTTCGGTCCTTCCACCATTTCAGAGATGAGACAGGGAGAAGAGAGAGATCCTTGGTTCGGTCCTTCCGCCATTTCAAAGATGAGACAGGGAGAAGAAAGAGATCCCTGCTTTGGCTTCTTTAGGCATCTCAGATCATTAAATCTCTCCATAACGGTTCTATTCTTGCCTGTTTTAGGAATCTTCAAGGTTTGAAAACCCTAAATCAAATCGAACCAGTAACATGAGCTTTCTCTTCACAGTGGCGAATCAAACGGGATGTTAGCGGAAAACCACCCTGTTATCTCCCCTTTCTCGGCCATCCATCTATTTCCCACCCCTGTTATTATCTCTACCAGCCACTATCACTACAACCTTCAGTAGTGGCGGTTTTCTTCTTCCTCCTCTCTCTCAATGTCTTCGTTATTCGTCACCATCACCATTGTCATCTTCTCTTCGTTACAACCTTCGACAATTCTCTCCTCAGTTTTGTCAAATATACATATCCAAGGTGAAGAGAAGAAGGAAATCAGATCTACATATCCAAGGAGAAGAAAGGGATCCTTGGTTTGGTGTTTACTAGTCTGTAGTCCTGCAAATGAACTCTTTGCAAAGGTGTTTACCAATTACCAGTACCATTCGGGCGATGATAGTTCCCCCTCTACCATTATCATCGTCATTGTCATCTATTGGTTTTCTCCCAATATTGCTACCATGGGAGGCTGTGGTAATTTCGAGGTTAAGAAGTCCATGTAAGCTCAAAGCTAGAGTCCTGCCCCAATTAGCACTGGTGGAGGCTAGGTCAGTTCATGTGGTGGGAACTTTAATGGCAAATGCTTATTTACAACTTCCCGGAGAAGATGGTGGTTTGAGTAGAGAAGACCGATCTTCATTGGAAAGGGTATTTTGGATATAATTTAAAATTAAATCAAACAAGTAAAGTTATGTGTAAATAGTCTGTGATGGAGACTTAACAGGAAGGAAACTGTACGATAATTGTTAGAACAATAGGGATACTTTAAGGCAATACTGAAACAGTACAGGTATAGTTAGTCAAATTCCTAAACTATAGGGGTAGTTTAAGAAATTTGCCTTTTTTTGAAAAATGAGCTTAGAGTGGTTTTGATTGTTATGTACGTTCTATTACTATCATCAGACAAAGAATGTTTGAGAGATGAAAGCTTTGGATGTGTGTGTGTGTGAGAGAGAGAGAGAGCAAGTTGTTTTTGTGCAATACTAAACAATGAAAAAGGTTATGAAGGAGAGAGCCCATATCTCCTAAATGGTGCTTATTTTTGAAACTGGAATGGGGTTATCGGTTTTTGGAAAATTGGAAACTGAAACCAAACCGAAGCCGAAAGTCTGGCACTCTGGTAGAGGTAGACTGCCGAAAGTCTAAAAGTCTCAAATTTCAAAAAAAAAAAAAAATTGAACCTTAAGGATGAAAGTCTCTCAAACCACAGCTAATAAATCAGTAGGTGACTAGGCGCCGAATAAATTGAAATCTTTTATTCGATTTTCAAAAAATCTAAAAACTAAAAAATATAATATATAATATATAATATATTATATTATTTATATAAATATATATTATTGTATATATCGATCGGTTCGGTTAACTGCCGGTTTTTTTAAATGGTTAACCGAAACCGAGTCAACCGATTCGGTTAACCAATTTTTTGGTTCGGTTTCGATCAGTTAAGTTTTTCGGTTTTTTTTACTCACCCCTAGACAGCTGGTCCCAGTCCAACAAATTCACATGTGATTGTAGTTGATCACCGAAGATCATTAGTCAAATTCTTAAAACATGAAGGGTTCATTTGGCGCATCTTTTTGGGAAGATCTTTTGGTAGCTCTGACATGCAAAAGACACATTAAGCTTTTGCATGAAGATCTGAGCAGCCCAAAGCATGTTTGCCAGATGCACATCTTTCCGTGTCTTTCCGTACGAGAATAAAATGTGAAAGACACGGAAAACTTCATTTGAAGCTTCCCGAAATCAGCCCAAAATGGGCTTCTCGCGTCTTTTCAACGCTCCCTCTTTTGGCGGCTAGATCTTTTGCAAACCAAACGGGGCCGAAATTAATGCTTATGGAACAAGCATTCTCTCTGATACATATTGGAACCAATGGGTAGGGATATGCTCCCAATACTGTCCCAACTAGCCACACAGCACATTGGGAATGAGTCCAGATCTAGGGCTATCAATGGTTTGGGTATGACCCGATGGACTCGAACCGATTGAGCCGGTTCTGGTTTTGGGAACTGAAATTGACAAATCAGTTCTAGGTCTTGATTATTATCGGTTCGGAACTGGTTCCACCTAGTCTCGAACCGATTCAGATCCAACTCGATATATATAATGTATAATGTATTAAATAAAAATATATACTATACATATAATATATATATATATAGAATATTTTATATATAGTAAATGAATATTTATTATAATTGGGTCTATCGGGTCAGGCCCGATTGTCCTAAGAATCTATTGATTCAGTTTTGGATCCAAAAATCACATACCTTATCTGACCCAATTTTGGGAGTCCAAGAACACGGACCCAAATTCTCGAACTCGACCCATTGACAACCCTATCTGGGTCTATTCATCATAGAATGCTCCTCTCACCAACCTTACAATGCTTCTTGACCCCCCTTCGTTTGTAACAGTGCAGCTTACCTGGGTATTTACCCATGTTCTTTTGATGTTTAGAATTCCCATGTAAATAATACAATGACATTTCTATTCATCAAAAATAACTATTAAAATGAGCCATCAGGTTTTGTAAAAATTTCTTCAAACTGGAAAGTTAGTAATGCATCTAAGAGATGATGGTATAACTTTGTTGTAGACCCATTGCTTAATACAAAAAAAAAAAAACAGAGAAAAATTTATCAATGGAAAAGAAGGAGTACTTAGTCACACATCCAAAACATCTCCCGTACATGATGTTCCCAATTTATTGAAACATCTCCCTTGTCATCATTCATGCTCGGATAGAGTGCGTTTAGACTTGAAGGGATTTTTTCTTCGCGTCCATTAAAATTTTGACACGTCAATTTGTTCTCATTTGCCCATCACCTCAACCGATTGAAACTTTATGATTGTTAACAGTATTTTTAAATAAAAAAATTAATTTTATAAATTTTTTGTAAACAGAACCGATAGCTCCATCGCAACCGGCTCAACGGTACTCTTCTCTCCCTCACCAATCGCTCCAATCTCAGGCTCCTCTACCTCGCCGGAAACGACTTCTCCGACGATGTCCCAGCCGATATTGGCTCCCTCAAGCGTCTCCTCCGGCTAGACCTTTCCGACAACAATCTCTGGGGTCCCATCCCCAGGCAGATCCTCAACTTAACTCGTCTCCTCACGATTGGAATGCAGAATAATGTGCTTGTTGCAGCTTCCAGATCTCTCCGCAGTGCTGCCGGAGCTCAGAGAGCTAAACTTAACTAACAACGAGTTCTACGGGAGGGTGCCATTCGGTCTGCTGAAGAAATTCGGATCGCGAAGCATCACAAGAAATGGAGGGCTGTGCGAGCCGAGCCCGTTACCGGTTTGTTTGTTCCTGGATGCCCCTCGACAGTTGCGTCAGCGCAGACCGTAGTGTCGTCGAACCCCAGCTCATTGCCTACTAGTACTGTTGCAGGTCCGGCAGGGAAGGAAGAGGAGTCCTGGAAGGGACTTAGTATCGGTTCCACCGTCGCCATTGTGGTTGCGTATTCTGTGGTGGTTTTACTAGTGGTCACGTCGTTTGCTGTTGCTTACTACTGTGGAGGAAATTCAGGAGACAATGGTTCCAACTCCAGTTCAAAAGGCAGGAGAAGCAGCAGTGGTAATTCAGGTGACAACAAGATGTAGCTAAATAATGTGCGTGGTCGTGGAGGAGGAGACAGCGATAGTACCACCACGACAAACTAGAGCAAGCTTGTGTTCTTCGATAGGAGGAAGCAGTTTGAGCTGGAGGACCTGCTCCGGACAACGGGAAAAGGAAGTTTAGGAACAGTCTACAAGGCTGTGCTGGAAGATGGGTGCACGGTTGCGGTGAAGAGGCTCAAGGACGCCAACCCATGTGCGAGGAAGGAATTCGAACAGTATACGGATTTGATTGGGAAGCTCAGACATCCTAACCTGGTTCATTTCAGAGCTTATTACTAATTTGCTACGCCAAGGAGGAGAAGCTCCTTGTCTACAATTACCTTTCCAATGGAAGCTTGCATTCTGTTCTCCATGATAATTATTTCTCACTGTTACCGTCTTTATTCAATAAAGCTGAACATGAATTAACTTTTGGCTTGATTTGAATMAGAGAATCGAAGACCAGGGAGGATACCTCTGGACTGGACGACGAGGATTAGCTTGCTTGCATTCTCTTCTCCATGATAATTATTTCTCACTGTTACCGTCTTTATTCAATAAARCTGAACATGAATTAACTTTTGGCTTGATTTGAATMAGAGAATCGAAGACCAGGGAGGATACCTCTGGACTGGACGACGAGGATTAGCTTGGTGTTAGGAGCTGCTCGTGGGCTTGCTCGGATTCAAGAGGAGTACAGTAGGTTGAAGATGCTCACCATGGAACTATCGGTTCTGTTTACAAAAAAATTATAAAATTAATTTTTTTATTTAAAATATTATTAGCGATCGTAAAATTATAGTCGGTTGCAGGTGATGGGCAGATGTCAAAATTTTAATGGTCCAAAGGCACTAAATCCGGACTGTCATGCCAGGTAGATGTCCCAATATAACAGGTTGGGAGGTTGGTGAGGCAGCTGCTCCGAACTGAAAACCAATGGGCTTAGATATGACATTTGATTTGAGACGTAGTAGTCATCCATGTTAAAAGAATCCCACAACAATGAATTAATTAATTAGTACACATACCAGATTGGACAACACTAACAAGAATAATACTTCAACTAAGCTAATAATACCAGAAAACCAAGCAAAAGCCCAGCTCTTTCAACTTGAAATTAAACGACTGTCATATGTATTCTGCTTTTTCTCATCAAATAGTTCATACAATCATCAAAAGCCGGCAAAAGCAAAGAAAAACCACAAAAGGGAAGAAGCAGCTAAGTTATTAATGTTTAAAGAGATCAGCTTATTGATTCAGCTGGCAGCAGCTAGCTTTACTAAAGCCAGATAGCACCTGCCTCCTTGAGCAGTGGTATAAGCGATCCATTAATGTGGAGGGCCATTACCTTCTGGGTTGAGCCTATGAACTTACCCCCTATGAACACTGCTGGCACGGCAGGATTGCACCCTAGCTTCAACAGCGCCATCTCCATTTCTCTTCCTCTGTACTCCTCGTCAAGCTCGTGAATTGCAGGGTTCACCCCGAGTTCATAGAAGAATCTCTTGATGACATGAGACATGCAGCATGAGCTCTTACTGAAAACCACTGCAGCGCTCTGGGACGCCAGCTTTGTTACCCTATCCATTCCTTTCCCACAGTTAAAAAGCCGATGAAAGCACAAAACCCAAATGGGGAGCTGATGCGAGTGAAGAAATGTGTTGGACAAGACTCAAGAGAAGCTTCTGAAGAGGCTTTGCTGTGTGCTGTGTGCTGTGTGCTGTGTGATGGGCTTGCCTCTTGGGGGGGCTTTATACAGGCAGGTGAGGGGTGGTGGATTACTTTTGTTTAATTCAAAAAAAAAAAAAGAAAAATTAAAAAGCTTCTTTTGAGGATACCTCAATTGCCCCCTTATCATTTGCTTGACAGGGACCTTGCTTCATTATACTACTTTGCTATACACCAAATTAATCACAAATTTACACTTGGAGAAACCAGGCTCCGGGAAAATGGAATCCATGAGACAGAGAACTATAATTAGGGCTGTAAATCAGAACCGAACCGAATCAAACCAAACCGATCTAATTATATAGGGTCCGGCTGGGTTTACACTACTTGTCCCGATTATAATTGGGTCGAAATTGGTTTAACCAACTATACATGCATTGATATCTTCCCCATGATATATTTGTAATATTATCATGTTATGATGTGCAGATGCATCTTCATTTTAATATAAAAACTAGGTTTATTGTCAAATTACTGGTTAAAAGTATAACTGCTAATCAGAATCGGGTCTTATCAGATCAGGCCCGAGTCTCACTGGCTGACCCTTCGTGGTCTGATTCGGAACTGGTTCTTCTGCACATTTCCTTGTTGGGTTGGGATCCAGTCTACCCTGGCCCAGACCAAACCTGACCACTGACAGCACTAACCACACAACTTCAGTCAGGGGTCCGGTTTCTGGGTCAAACGGTCTGACTGTTTGAACCAGACAGACGGCCTGTTCTGACAAAAAATTAAAATTGATCAAAACTGTCGGACGGTTCAAACGCCCAGATTAGCGGTTTATTGATCAAATCAATGGTTTTTTTTTTGGTGAAATAACGGTTTTGGGGTAAAAATGGAACCGGTCATCTAACCAGTTCCCAGTTTTTCTGGTCCGACCATCCGGTTTTGAAAACCATGAAAAAAAGTGTTGATCCCTTTTACTCAGTTGGAAAGAGTATAAATACAAATACATACAAAATATAAGGTTTTGTATTCTACAAATTTATATTTATACTCCTTCCAAACTCGTTAGACCAAAGGGATCAGTTTATCTCCCTGAAAAATCCGGTTCAATGAGTTATTAATCCGACTGCGTCATGATGTATATAAAATAATTTACTCCAAATTAAGAAATGTATTTTGAATAGGTCCGGTCCAATATACCCCAAAGCTGAATCTTTCCTTGATTTATATATCAAAAAAAGAAAAATAAAAATCTCATCTGGGATTTAACATTTCATTAATAAACAAAATTATTCTGAGTCAACTTTTCCGTCCATGTCTTTTCTTCCTTTTTTTTTATCCATTTTATCTGATAGGATCTGCTGATGCGGAGAAAGAACATAGAGTTTATCCAATACAGATTCACTTTTTTCTATCTTCATATTCTCATCAAATTCATAAAGAAAAAGATCTCATGAAGACAGACAGGAGAAATCATCTTTACCAAAAACAAAATAAATTGTAGAAAGAAATTGCAAGAGATAACAAATTCAACAATTTCTAGTCCAATGAAGAAGAAAAGAAATATGTTAAATTGCTGGTTGTTTCCATTATAAAAATTCTATATAAAATTGCAGATAAAGTATTGAACGGTTTGAAAGCTTTGCAGAAGAAAGGTGTTTAGTTTGTCCCCACAGGTCTATTTTGATTGCAATAGCTACTTATCCTTCTTATGCCCTATTTTTCTTGTCAATGGGTGGAATCTTAGCCGTGAATGGACCCTCCTTACTTGTGTTTGTTCAGTGATTATGTCAGAATTCTAAGAATCTTTCAGATATGTATATACACTTAGGCCGGGTTAACCCCAATTCCAACACAAAAAGTGTTGGGTTGGATTGGATTGGATTGAAGTTCAAGTTATGATTGAAAAATATGAATTCAATTTAACTTCTAATTAAACTAGGGTATTCAATTTAACTTCTAATTAATTATGTATGTGTGTATGCGTATATATATATACCTACAATGAGGGTCAAGCCATGGCTGCTTGTTCTGGTCCTTGTAATGCTACCTCCTGATGCATGCTGAAGTTTGGGGCATCCTGAAAGGCATAGACTTAGCCAAGGCCAATGGTGCATGCAAATTTAAACCGAAATACATAAATGCCCCGGTTCAACGTTTATATCACTAACAAACGTAGACTAAGTATGGTAAGGAGCAAAACATATTTGGGTCAAATCTCACCATCACTAAGGTTGGGGGGATAT